CAGCGCGCGTCCCACCCTCCCGCCCCAAAATCATCACTCCCCATCTGAAGTGGGACCTTAGCGCACGCATGTCTTTGCTGCTTTCTTCGCGGCAAAGCTTGGAGGAACAAGGCAGGGAGTCCCGAGGGCTGCCTGGACCAGCAGGGCTCGGCTGAGCTGTCTGACCACGGCAAACAGCCCTGGTACACTCCGATGCCACCACGATGTGACACTTACAGGTTCCTGCTCCGTTTCTTGCGGGAGGTCTCATCCCCTTCGTCACAGCTGCATTCGGGGTCGGCTCCGCTCAGCTTGGGGGGAACAGAAAAACAGCATCTGTATCATCATGCCCACGGTGGCACGTCCAGTGTCACCACCCAGCATTGCAAGCATCCCCCACGGTCCCTGCGCCCACACAGCCCAGTCCCACGGCATCCATAGGGCTCCTTCTCCACCACCACGGCAATGAGCGGGTCAAGCTCTGGCATGGGAACCTGCCTCCCCCACCCACCCTATGCCACCTCCAGCCCATGGTGTTCCTGGAGCATCTGAGGAGATGGCAGTCCTGGTACCGTCACCATGTCTGGTGGCCCTGGTACCCCTCCAGGTTCAAGATGCCGACAGCGGTACCGCCTACGTGGAGGACACCCGCGTCCCCTTTCCTGATCCTCCTATTCCTGCGGTCTTGAGTGGGCACAGGGACCATCCCCAGCCTGCCGAGCACCTTGTCCCCCCAGAACCAGGCTGGGCACCCAAAATCAATCAGGGGTCCCCCAGCAGCCCCCAAGCAGGAAAAATCAGAGCAGTTCAGCCATAACTGAATCATACCATACCAGCTTTCAAGCCTGAGGAGCACCCAGAGGGCTCTGCTCCCTGACCACCATCCTGGGGTGGCCTGGGCAAACCAAGGGGACCTCGGATGCACCGCGAGCTCGGACCTCACCAGCACAGCCTCCGAGCCACAAAGCCTGCGGCCAGGCATGGGGACCCCTGGGACCACCGAAGCTTGGGGGCTTTAGTAACTCATCCGTTACTGAAGGAGACCGGAAGATGCTCGCAGCCGGCCCCGCATCCAGCTCAGCCCCGCACCAAGCTCAGCTCTGTGCCGCCGCTGGCTGCCGGGTGCTTTCCAGGATCGCTGCCCCACGGCCGTGCCGTGGGAACCCGCTGCGCAGCCCTGCAGCCCCGGGCTCGAGGCTTTTGACACTTCCTTCCCTTC